TGGTTACATTTACACTTGATCATATTTTCCAGACAAAAAGTTAATGGTGCATCTCCCAAATGTGCCGCAACTAAGCTTTTATTGGTTACGCTATCGGGACGGAACCAATAATGGCGAGCCGTTATTTTTTTTAAATAAAAAAAAAGGTCAATTTTAACGTTTTATTTAGATTACAAAAATAAATCGTAATAAAAAGAATCCTATTTATGATGTTTTAAAAATAAAGACCTACGAAAGACTGATTTAAGACATTTTAATACCAATTAAGGCCTTAATTTTATTTTGAAGAATTCAATGCCTTTTAAGACTTTTTAAGGACCAGCGGGAACCCTGTGTTACAGGCAAAGAAAGGAGATGGTAGCTCCGCCCAACGTGCATCAGACCAACTTTTCGACCGCGCAGCTAGAGAGCAGCTAAGATACTTCAGCCGAGTGCCAGAACTAAACTTGTACAAGCATCAAAAATGAAGCAGCACGCTCGTTTTTGCTGCTCCTGCATTAGAAACAGGAATAGCGTTTTCTGAACAGCCCCGGTGTTCCGCCTGTAACAGGTAAAAGATGCATTAACACCCAAAATGAGTCCAGATTAAAGATTTTCATTAAAAAACAGATTTGTTTCTACTGTATTCCATGCACTTCAATTATCAACCACGACCAGACAATGAGTGAAAAGAAATAGGAAACTAAAAATGTATTATTTACGCACACGTGATACGGCGACTGCACAACTACGAGCATCGCAGGCATGGATGGACTGGGAATCCAGGGCTGCTGGCCAGCCTCCTTCATTACTCTGACAGGTTAATCATCTCGTTATCTCAAGAAATCAATAACTCTTTTCTCGAGATAATTATCTTGTTATCTGGAGAAAACAATTCATTTTTAACCATGATAACGAGATAGTTCTGTCATCATAACGAGAAGGCAAAGGAAAAAAATAAAGGCGAGTACGACCGCTCTCGTCTTCCGTACATACGGACCAATGGAGTATAAACAATCTAGGATTGGATTTATAATAGTCGAAGCTTTATTTAAAAAATTGTGATTTAACATGCTGCTATATCTATATTAATTGTGCTTTGGAGCGGATAAAATAACCTTGGCAGTTAAATTTTGAGGGATCTAATATTTGTAAAGATGTATAACATGTCTATATTGGTGTTAACAGGAGTTATTTTAAAGCATACCGCTGTGCTGTGTGACCCAGTGATTGTTGGTGCCTCATTTATTTTTTATTCATTTATTTTTTCTCATACTTTTTTACTTTTATCACTTTTCCATGGAGGCAGACGGCAGAAATAGATGATGGCCGTTTCTCAATATGCGTTCCTGAGCGTTCTCGTGTGCTCGTGTACTCGTGACATGTCATCAGCCTCAGCCCGAGTACCGTTCCAATTCTGGAGAACTGCAGATCGAGAACGCATTAAATCCCCGGATGTTGTTCTCGCCCCGCCCTCTTTATCGAGCATGCATCAGAGCAGACTTGTGCGTTCTTCAGACTGACCGCTTCCCCAGAATGCCCCGC